ATAACTGTTCAATCTCAGCGGCACAAGAGAGAGAGAGAGAGAGAGAGAGAGAGAGAGAGAGAGAGAGAGAGAGAGAGAGAGAGAGAGAGAGAGCACTGACAGGAAAGTCTCACTCAGTCACTCAATGGAGTCAATAGTGGCTCAATAGGCCAAGAAATCTCCTAGGTCTACCGCAAGACTGTTATTGTTATTAGGCGGTCTCGGCCTACAGCAGTGAGAAGAACTGAACTGAGAAGGCCTAGGTCTCGGCCTACAGCAGTGAGAAGTGAGAAGAACTGAGGCACAGCTGTGCGTGTCACGTTAAGGGCGCTGTCGGTGTCGAGACCGGGCGGCGGGCGGGCATCTAATCGGCTCTTTCTTGGGCAGGGGCGCTGTATGCCTACCACGTGACATGTGAGCCGCCCTGTGAAACTGTGAGGCAAAGTTGCCAGTTTGGCAGTTTTCCTGCCAAATTTGACTTTTTTAGTTAAGCATTAGCAGCTTTGGAAGTCGCCAGCCAGAAAAACAATGATTTGGCAGTTTTTTATTGGCTTCAGAACTAATTTGGGGGTGGAAAAACAAACAAACAAAGAAAAGCGAAGGGAAGGGAAAAAACACTCTTGACCAGCCCTGCATGGGTATTTTATTGCAGTTTTTTGTGTGGGTTTTTTAAAAGTGTTTTACGGCGCTCGCAACTTCATAAGGTCATACATGAATGAGCGCGCGGGACACATTAAACTTTTTCACTTGGTAGGAAATTTTGACTTTTGCCTGGGTGGCGGCCGAAGCCTACTAGGCTCTTATCGATTTTCGACCACCAAGGGATCTTTAACGTGTGCAACTTGCACACGGGCCCTCCGAGATTTTAGCCCTTGTCCGAGAAGGCTAGTTGTAGATCTTTCCTACCAAAAGATCAGGGATGTGGCTGAAAGACAGCAGTTTAAGAAGGAGCCAAGGAATAGCAGTAGAAAGGCTGCAGAAAGAGTCAGGAGCTCAGAGGAGGCAAAGAAGGTGTGGGGTGGAGGCAGAAAGTGAAAAAGAAAGCAGACGACCAAACATTGCTAGAGAGCAGGAAAGAATGTGAAAAGAGACCATTTTAGAGAAGAAAATTTTTCGGGTCACTACCCGGATTCGAACCCGGAACCTTTGAATGAGAGGTGAACACCTTAACCTCTAGGCCATAGGCCCCCTGCAGGTTTTTATTGCACTTTAATCAAGTCCAATGTCTTCGACCCTCAGTGGCATTTTGAAGAGAGCTACGGAGCATCAATGGACATGTCCGTGCCGAAATGAAGGGATATTGTTTCCTGAAACAATGAAAACAATGAACCAATTGAAATTGAAGGTTCCAATCTGTGGTGATTTCCCCCTTAAATTAAGGCTTTAGGCCCCTACTTTGCTTATGATTTCATTATGGCACTTATGCTATACATCTAACCAACAGGCACATCCTACTTTCTGAACTTTCTTGAGCGTAAAAAAAAAATAACTGTTCCGCGCTAATTATACCGATCGGTGCTGTCTTAAGATTACGCTGCACGTTTTAACGTCCGTAGGCCTATAATTGCGCGGTAATCTGAAGATTGCTTTACCGTAGGCCTAATTCTAATAATATTTTATTTTGATTTTTTGTCTTTTTAATTCACTTCTATCTTTGTTCTTTTACTCACCAAAGAACATTCAATTAATATTATTTTCAAAAGTGTTAAAATATGAAAATTAAAATCAAAATCAAAATGCGAAACTGGAGAGCCCACAAGAATGATACACTTTATATAGGCTAAGCTCGTTAAAACGGGCAGCGCAATCTTAGGTTGCACCGATAGGTAATTAGCGCGAAACACAATATATATGACAGTGGACGCGAGTTCCTGAAAAAAATTACAGGATGAATTTTACAGAAGACAATTATATGATAGATCTAGTGAAAAAGCATTTTGCAGGTAATATGATAGATTCTAAGTATGACGCATATTAAAATTATCATCAGCAATGGTCTGTTCATTTTGCTTACTCCTTCTCCAGCTCTTCCTTCCTGTATACTCTCGCCGATTTTGAGTGTCGGCCATTTCCTCGTCTTCTAAGCGCAATTTTAAACGTGAATACGACAGAGCAATAGAGTCTACAGAAGAATTGCTTTGATAGACTGGTCATCAGAGACTAATGTTCAAAGAGACATCAACTGGCAGAATATATGCCCTCAACTACCTTCTTACTCCAACAAGCAAGCTGGTACATTGTATTAAAAGGTGTTTTTTTTTTCTCTTGTGATCTCCACTAATAAACGAAACCAAAGAACAAGCTGTTTGCTGAAGCTTGAAATACACTTCTTGATACAAAAAAAAAAGCAAACAAAAACAAGCTGTGTGTGAGTTCCCTAAATATGCTATATTTCGAATCAAATCCAATCTGTCTTCCAGCAAGGCAAATGTTCCCAAGATTTTACTGTGATTCAGCCCGTGTTGGAGCTTTGCACCAGTATGTTCTTTCTGTCCACGTTTTTTCTTCTAATAATTTCTTATTATTTCCCCTTAACATTCTTTGTTAAGATTAACAGAATCGCATAATTTCACTTTTTTGGGCTCAGTTTGCATAATTTCAGACTGTTTCTAGCTTAAAACGACGGGGACAGCTTTATGCGGCTAGCAACACGATCCCAAGGTTTCACTGCTGCGAGTTCAATGACAATCGAGGAGAGATGCAGATCTCCAGTTTTTGTAACTTATGTGGATGTCTTAACTTTGCTTTTAACTTGCATTGAATTTTAGTTTTAAAAATATACCTCTCAGTTTGAGCTCAACACCACTTTAGATTTCAATTTAGGGCGTACTCGTAATTAATGTTTAGATCTAGATCTTACTAAAAAGAGAAGGTGAAACTCTTTTTCAATTTTTCAAAGTTGAAAGTTGGAAGGCAAAGTGGATCAATTTTTTTTTCTTCACACAAAGACACAAACTTGCCCCAAGTATAGATCTACCAGCTCTACCGGCGCTTCAGTTAGAAATCTAGATTAAAATCTGCAGTCACCACAATAGGAGGTGAGTTCATTTATTGCTAGCGTATAAAATCGTTTCATACACATGTCTGCATTTTCCTTGTTATCAGTAGCCTAATTACAATGTACAAGATTTGCTACAGGCCCAATGTTGTAACTGGTTTGGCGGTTTATTTTGTTACCATTTGGCAGATTTTGGTTGTCGATGATTTGACGGGAAGCCTGAAAAAATCTGGCAACCCAGCTGAGAGGAATTGAGGATCGGAAAAAATGGCGCAGTGAGGGCAAGAATTTGTTTTCGGAAGTGCCCCTATCGCTTTCAAAGCAAGAGCGGCTTTTTCAAACAAGAGTAAAACGTGGAGTGTTTCTTACAGTCTAGATATCTAGTTTGTAATTTTTGAGCTCCAGAATACACTGAGCAACTTGTTAAATTGACGTCATGGTTTTGAACTGCTGTGTTTTTGGGTGCAAAAACAGGAAAAGCAGAGGGTCCACCTTGTCATTCCACACGTAAGTAGATCTAGACCTAAAAGTCTAGATATAGAATATAGATCTAGATTTCTAGATCTATAGAATCTAGATATCTAGACTCTATCCGTAAAGGGATGAAATTGCTGCTTCACGACAACGCACCAGCACACACTTCAACAATGACTTCATGAAACGCTACAGATACTGCCAGAAAGTGGCATATCTAGATCTATATATATATATAATATGGCTAGAATCTAGATCTAGATCTAGATCTATATGACTATCGGAGTGTCTACGTACACGGTAACCGGGCACGTAGCCTCAGGGTCTACGTACACGGTAACCGGGCACGTAGCCTCAGGGTCTACGTACATGGTAACCGGGCACACACGGTAGCCTCAGTCTCAGTGTCTACGTACACGGTAACCGGCAACCGGGTGTGTAGATCTAGTCTCAATGTCACGTACACGGTAACCGGGCGTGTAGCCTCAATATCTATGTACACGTTAACCGGCAGCCGGGCGCCTCTCATTATCTACGAACACGGTAAGCGGGTATTTAGTTTCGTGGGGGAGGGGGGGGGGGGGCTTCAGCTGGGTACACGGTAACTGCTTTGCTCCCTTCTTGACGTTGACATTAATTTTTCCCTTTTCACCATGTAGTCTCAATGTCGCATACATACACGGTTACCGTGTACATGTACTTAGTTTCGGGGTGTGGGGGGAGGGGATGCGGAAGGGGGCTTGAGCTAGGTGCACGCACGGTAACATGACGTTGACTTTTTTCCTTTTTTTCACCGTGTAGTCTCAATGTCACACACACGGTAACCGGGCACGTAGCCTCAATATCTACGTACATGGTAACCGGCAACCGGGCGCCTCTCATTATCTACGAACACGGTAACCGGGTGTTTTGTTTCGGGGGGGGGGGCTTGAGCTAGGTGCACGGTAACTGCTTCCCTCCATTAATGACCTTGACCTTTTTCCTTTTTCACTCCGCTTTTTGTGTGTTGTGAACGGAATGTAAATCAAAAAATGACCCCAATCTATCATCTGTCATCTTTCCTACGGGAGAGCAAAATGAAGTGACACTGAAAATCTGCGAATCTGGAACAGGAAGCTAAAATATAGATGTTTACAAAACATTAATACTATCACGAGAGAGAGAGAGAGAACGAGACTCCGAAAACAGAGAGAGGGAGAGAGAGGAAGGAAGAGAGAGAGAGAATTAAAAACATATATGCTCTTGATGAGGTCATACCTCTCTTAAAACAAAGGACAATGAAACCAGGGGATCCTTGACTATCACCCATCCAATGAAATGCGGACCTTTTGGTTAAAAAACGCGGCTTACTAGAGGTATGAGTATGACGGATCCCAATTCCGTACAGGGCTTGCACCAATGCACGCTTTTCCGTAGCTGGAAGCTCTAGTAATAATCAAAATTCTAAATACAGTAGTCTCCGCCTAAGATCCCACCGCTTACGATCCCGGTTCGCTTAAGATCCCGTTGTTTTAGGAAAACAGAATTTTTACTATACAAAAGTCACCCCTAAGATCCCGCTCTGATGGTCTGCATTCGGCTAAGATCCCGTATTTCAGATCATAATTTGCTAAAAAAAAACAACCCTGGTGGGCACAGTCGATCAACCAAGAGTAAAAAGTTGAGATCAATAAACTGTCTGTCGCGTCAAAGATCAGCCACTATCGTGAATGTGATCACATACATGTTGTAAAACTCGATGAAGCGATACAATGTTTGCCCCAGACGGGATCACACCGGGGTGTGAACTGACCAATGCGTTTGTTGTCCCCACGCATCGCACTCACACCTGAGCTCGCCACCTAAGCTTGCATCACTCGCTGGGTGGGTAGGGCCTACAAGTTCGCTCCTGGCGGGATCACATCGAACCGTGAACTCCTCCTTGACCATTGCAGCAGTTGTCTCTACTCCCGAATTTGCGAGACAGACTGAATTTTAATTGGTGCGTTCACAACGTAATGGTGTGTAACGACAAAGGCGGTTTGGAGGGGGGGGGGGGGCTCGGTCAGAGATGGAAAGCTGTAAATTTTTGACAGGTAAAGAGGAGGGGCAACTGGATAATCGTAGATCCTGAGACTCAAGATAATAAGTGAAAATGGATCGCCTCATGCCACTATGCATCGTGATAGGTCATCAAGGTTAACCACTCTTTGCTCGCCATATGCCATAAACCCACCAAGGGGGCACGTCAGCTCATTGTAAGTGGAGGGAGACCATTTTACCGATTGTGAGCCTTAACATGGGTCACCATAGATTCTTTCCTGGGTTCGTCGGTTAAGATCCTGGTTCGCCTAAGATCCCGCGTTACCTTGCTCCCAAGCACCGGGATCTTAGGCGAAGACTACTGTACTAAAATTTGCTTCCAAATTCAGTTTTTGTCATCCGATGTTGCCTTCAACCCCACCCCTCCCACCCGACTGTACCTTTTAAAAAAATCAATATCCCCCTATCCCAGAGCCCTATACTTCGCGCAGCGTACACGTTGAATGAACTTTGGTGACCCCAACGATCACTGGTACTCACAATGTGATGCTAAAGTACAGGTTCACTGACCGGTCACGATGTCGAGCCCGACAAGACGCTTTTGTATAACTTTCCTTTTTTTTCGCAAGTGAAAGCACGGGACAATGATTTATTTTCCTGGCTACACAGCATTTGTAATGCACAACCTGTACGTTACAAATGATGTGTTAATCAGACTGCTACCGGCAAATTTCTGGGGGGTAAAGAAAGGGAAAGTAGATCGAGCTTCGGTACCACGCATACACTTACGCTTGCAGCCAAAGCGCCCTGTTCATACCTAAAACTATCTTTTGTTTTCCAAAGAGTTAGCACTTGCAACAACAACAAAATTATATAAGTGCCGAGAATTAGAGGTGTTAGTGTTACAAGAGAGTAACAAACACAAAAAGAAGGAAGAGAAAGATAAGGATGATAGATGTTGAATAGGAGAGAAGGAGCAGAGCACCCACCAACCACCCATTAATACTATCTTTACACACACCACACTTACAATCACACACAAAAATACATAAACACAGAGAGAGAGAGAGGGGGGGGGGAGAGAGACACACACACACGCACATCATGCATCCACACGTGTAAATAGCCTCTAAATATATTTAATACTTAGCATGTTACACACACACAAATCACACAACATACACATTGGATAAAACGATATGAGGATAGCTTTATCGGTTGAGTTTGTCAGAAGTAGACTAAAAAATCTCCATAGCCTCACAACGATATTCTCTCTGTCTCTAAACACACAAATCACAGAACATACATAATGGATAAAACAAATGAAAGCTAAAAGAGCAAATAAAAAATGAATGACCCAGGACATATTAAAACTAGAGAAGACAGTCAAAATCAAACATGGAAAAGTACATCTTTAGCTATGGCCCTTCTGATCCGCACACTCTTCACTGACTTAGAGCCTCTCTATGCAAACAACCACTAAAAACGAACTCTCCATCCTATCCCTAGATCTGCTTTTAGATTTAGATTAGTTTGTAACACAAACAATAGACTAAAAGGATCATGTAGATACAAATCTATATATCTAGACTCTGAGCGTCTAGGGGCCCACCCTTGTTAGGTAGGGAAAAGTATACGGATCATAATTATGGGGGAGCTCCTTTGTGTTTTTCCCGACCTGCTTTGTTTAATATCTGCTGTTCTTTCACAGTGCTTACATGCTTCTCTTCTAGGCCTATTTATTGCTTTCATCATGTGTGGTTATGACTCTGTTGGACTGTGACTGACACCTTCAAAATAAACTGAAGGAATAAGAACAACAATGGGAAGAAAATGCTCAGTTGGTGGATGCAAAACTGGCTATGACAGTCAGAAAGGTGCAGAAAAAGTGACCTTGTATGGATTTCCTTCGGATGAAACAGAATGTCGGGCATGGACTGCTAGCTTACCAAACATTTTATCCTATGAAAAGGTGTCAAAACATATCAGTGTGTGCCCTCCATTTCCGTAAAACTCTAACTCAACTCAAGTCAACTTTCTGTCTTTCCATCGCTTTTGTCTGTCTAGAATAATTTTTTACATGTCCGTTAGTTTGAACACAAACACAGGGAAGCTAAACCATTGAGAGAGAGAGAGAGAGAGAGAGAAAGAGAGAGAGGGGGGAGAGAGAGAGAGAGAGAGGGGGGGGGAGAGATTGAGAGGGAGAGAGAGAGGGGGAGAGATTGAGAGGGAGAGAGAGAGAGAGAGGGGGGGGGAAGAAAGAGACCGCCTAGCCGTGGCCGTTGTAATCATTATTATCATTACGAAGGTCACTGCTTGCTGTGGGCCGAAGCCTGAGCGGCCGGTGTGTCAGCCCACAAGCAAGGTGTGTAGTTCTTGGGCTGCGCTGCCTGATTTATGATCGCCTAGACTGCCACCAATCCAATGAAACGCGAACACTAGGCCGTTTTCACACAAGGCCTGAACCCATGCACACTTTATGTAGCAGAGAGCTGTAGTAGTTATCAAAATTCTAAACATTAGACATATTTAATTTGCTTCCAGTTTCAGTTTTTTTGTCCATTGGTGTCCAGCCCTCCCCCTATCCCCGAGTGCGTCTTTAAAAAAAAAAAAAAAATCCCCCCCCCCCCCACACCATTCCTGAGTCCTGTACTTCGCAGCGCTCAGAACGCGCGCAGGTTCATTGACTGGCCACAATTGCGAACCCGACAAGACGCTTGTATAACTTTCTTTTCTTCATGTTGCCCCTATAAGAGGCGACACAGTGACAGGTATATTGATTTGCTTTCAAGGCGACACCACGTTTGTAATGCCGAACCTGCAGATTACAATAATTGTTGCGTTATGAGACAATTACTGACAAATTTCTTGGTGGTAACGAAAGCGAAAGTAAAGGCTTACGGGCAGGGTTGGTGATTTTTTTTTTTTTTAAATATAAATTTTAAAAATCGATTTTTTAAATTTAAATCAAAATTTTTAAAATTTAAATCGGATTTTTTTTTTTTTTTTTTTTTAAATGTCGAAACAGTTTGGGATTTTTGGTGGCTAAAAGTAAGTTCTTTTAGTGCAAAATGCATTGTCTTTATTTTAACTAATGATTAATTTAAGCAACTGCAATTTTAGAAAGCCTTATTCTGCTATATATCAGTGAATTATGGCTACAGACAAAAAAACAAAAAAATGAAGAAAATGTCAGTCTAAAAGGAAGGGTGGGGGGGGGGGGGGTAATTATGCATAGATAAACTTGCATTTTATTACAGTGCACGTGTGTGCGCGCGCTTGTGTTTGTCTAAAAAGAAAAAGAAAATGCTAATTTCAATTATGAAAAAAAAGTAAATTGAATAATACAGTATTATTTTACTACTTACAGTGACAGGGGGGGAAACAGACTTTTAAGCATGATTATTTTAGTCTACTAAACCTTATATCTGTTTTATAAAACCAAGGAAAGGATTTCTGAATGTTTGAAGATGTAAAAACAGAATACATTTTTTAAAGCATTTTTTAAAAGTGATTTAAATCACTGAGTTTTATTTTAAAAATCGAATTGATTTAAATTTTTTAAAAATCAACTGATTTAAATTGACCCAGCTCTGATTTCAATTATGGAAAAAAAAAAGTAAATTGAATACTGTATTATTTTACAGTGAAAGGGGGGAAAGCAGACTTTTAAGCATGATTATATTAGTCTACTAAACCTTATATCTGTTTTATGAAACCAAGGAAAGGAATTCTGAATGTTGAAATGTGTAAAAACTGAATAAAAATACATTTTAAAAAAAGTGATTTAAATCACTGATATTTATTTGAAAAATCAAGTTGATTTAAATTTAAAAAATCAACTGATTTAAATCAACCCAACCCTGCTTACGGGACGCTCTGTTATGAAATTTAGTGGGTATCATGCTGGACTATAGAGCGGTTGACCCTAGTGCGCCTTTTCGAAAAAGCGCGAACTTTGCGAACAGAGTTAGAATCTACCCTACTTGTTTGAAAAACAATAATAGTGACACTCTTTTTGGCTGAGTGAACTATCTCTTGAACCTTCCAGTTACCGTGTACGTAAACCCTAAGACTACGTGCCCGGTTACTGTGTACGTAGCCCCTGAGGCTACGCGGCCGGTTACCGTGTACGTAGACCCTGAGGCTACGCGCCCGGTTACCGTGTACGTAGATTGACATTTTGCTACATCCACTCTCTCTATTCTACAGATGCCACATAATCTAGATCTATCCACTCTGACTCTGTTCTCCAGATTTAGCCCTGTCTGACTTTTTTTTACCATAACTGAAAACGGAGTGTCTACGTACACGTTAACCGGGCACGTAGTCTCAGTATCTACGTACACGGTAACCGGGCACCTATTCTCACCTGGACTCAGTATCCATGTGTGCAGGGTAACCGGGCACCTAGAATCTAGATTTAGAGTCTCAGTATCTACATGTACACGGTAGATCTAGATCTAACCGGAATGAAAATATATCAATATTTGTCCTGTGCTGTCACTTGCTGAAAAAAAAAAGAAATTCATACAAGCGTCGTGTCGGGCTCGCTGTCGTGACCAGTCAGTGAACCTGCGCGTGTGCATCACATTGTGAGTACTGGTTGGGGTCTTCAAAGTTAGTTCAAAGTCTGTGCGCTGCGAAGTATAGGGCTCCGGAATGGAGGGGATTATTGATTTTTATAAAGGTACTGTCGGGAGAGGGGTGGGGATGAAGGCAACACCGGATGACAAAAACTGAACTTGGAGTTCTGAACTGCCCGGGATGAAGAAGACAGGGAGACAGCAGAACACCACGCAATCATTAGGATGCGGGAAATGGGAATAGAGAGGGGAGAAGGAAGAAAGGAACGAATATCTGGAAAGGAAAGACGTCGCCATAATCAGACAGCCACCATAACAATCAGTATGGATACCTTGTGGGCTTTGGTGCTGGGGGAAACTGAGCACTTATGGACCTTTCCGGTATGCAATGACGTTGTTGCCCAGGACAGGTAATACAGGTAATACACGAATGCATGAACAATAACATGAGCGGACAATCATGTTTACATATCAATACAACAGTGTGTGTGTGTGGGGGGGGGGGGGGGGGGGGGG